CCGGACTATTTCAACACGTTGCTTGGTTTGTTGCTTCGTCGCTTGTTTTGGTTCATGTTCTTGTTGGTTGTTTGTTGTGGCTTTTGCTGAAAGCGCTTGTGGTTATTGTCGTTGCTGTTGGTCTTTGCTGATTGGTGCCTGTTGGTTGGTTTGTGGGTTGCTTGGCCGAGCGACCGAGTATGGTGGGTTGTTTTGCCGCAGGGGTTCAACCTAAAATGTGATTTTGTGGCAGGCGCGGGTGTGGGAGATGAAGTGCAGATTTCGTGGGTTAGCAGACCGCAGCCACGTAAAACAAGTGCATGTTGAATGCAAAGCAAACAAAGAGACTGCGCCGGCCAGGGGACCTGGGGGGGGGGGTGGTGACACGGAGTCAGAACAACAGTAGTGCTATCTCAGTGGCAAACAGCACAGAGACAGTAAGCTTTTTCCACGCGCCCAGTCGAGAGGCGAAACACCGACGGAGAGGGGGGGGGTGACCCGGAGGCGAAACACAGACGGAGGGGGGGGGGGGGGGGGCCCCCGGAGGGGAAACACAGGGGGGGGGGGGGGGGGGGGCCCCCCCCCCCCCCCCCTGGGATTGTTTGGGACGGCTAATGGGGAACTCTCGTGATTTCTTGGAATGCTACCAATTCTTTTGCGTAGAATGACAGCCGTTAGTGGTGTCCAAAAGTTGCATCAACCGAACTTGCCGCACCACAAGGGGCTACCAGTACCACTTATTGACTGCAGCCAGCATACCCTGTCCAGTAGAGCAAGTACTGTATGCCACCGTCCCACCTTGACTTTTGTCAATCACACGCCACGCTTTGTCTTTCACAGATGCCCCGCCGTGCAATTAAACTGCAGATTTCTGTTCTGAACAAACTTGCAAATTTGCGGTTGCAATGGGTATATATGGTGCGACAATATTGCTGAACAAATGCTCGCGTCACAATTGCCTAGCAATGATTGCATTTGTGCAAAAACGTGCCGCCTAGCTAAAGCGTGCGAAGGCTAAAAAGTACAATGCATTGTTCAGCAGCCAGCCACCAAAGAGCTTGTTTCCATACAGGGTAGATCTTTTGACCCCACCTCATGCCAAAACCACCTCACAAGTCTCAGCATACATATGACTGCAGAGTGTCAAATTTTTTTTATTCACCTTGAATGTTTTGGGTCTACCACGAGTTGATTCTGTTTCGATGTGCTGATGCATGGCTTACCTAGCCGAGGCACATTGATGCGTTGACGTTGGCAGTTTGCCTGGTTGAACATGGCCTTGTTGCAGATTGGAACGCTGTGAACCCTGGCTGTGCAATTGAGCCTGGCGACCGGCTTGTGTCAGTCAATGGGCTTTGCCATCCTGAGCTTGTTTTAGAACAACTTTTTGGAGAACCATCGCTTCGGATTGTTGTTGAGAAGAGGGGCGGCTTTACCGGGGCCTTGGTGCCACATTGCAAGTTTTCAGTGGAGCTCCGAAGAACAGCTTTGGAAGGTTTTGGTATGGATGTGAGCCCTGACACCATGGAGGTGCTGAATTTACAAGATGATGGAAAAGTAGCTCTTTGGAACCAGTGTCACCCATTCCGAGCCATCGTGATTGGTGACAGGATTGTGGAAGTCAACGGTGCCCACACTGCAAAGCATGATGTATTTGTTAGCGAACTGAATCTCGAGCTTGTTGTGGTCAGGGGATCTAGCATAGCCATGTTTGGAACTTTTGGAGTCACACTGACAGTTGCCGGTAGGCTTGGTTTTGGTGTCAGCCCAACGATGGAAGTTGACAAGCTGGAGCAGGCTGGAGCTGCTCAACAGTGGAACGTCTCAAATCCCATCAACAAGCTACGGTTGGGTGACAAACTGATACAAGTAAACTCTAAAATCAACCGTACAAAAATGCTGTCAGAATTGAAAGGTGGACGAGTCTTGAAACTGATAGTGGCGCGATCTGAAAGGCGAGTTGATAGAAATAGCTGTGCGCTCTTTACATGGAAAGAGTGTCAAAGGGAATGGCCGAAGGATGCCGACCAACGCTGGAGCGCAATGGCTTTGATGAGTGGGGCATCAACGCAGGCAGGGTTTGCACAGTGTGGTCTGTGGGGCAATGATGGTGTGTGATGTTTAAGATTAGCAGGTGCCATTCTGCCTGTCCCCCAGTTTAATACCTCCTATGCCGAGGCAACCAGCTCCATGCTCGCTGCTTCACACAAATTTGCCGTTGAGTTGACACGAACACAAGGAGAACAGTGGGGCTTTGAGGTGAGCGAGGACATGCAAATTAAATGCGTCAATGATGCAAGTGTCCTTGCGATATGGAATTGGTGGCATGCTTCTCGTGCAGTCCTTCCAGGTGATCAACTTGTTGAGTTGAATGGGCTTTCTCAAAGCAAGGCAATTCTGGACATGTTAAAGGGAAGCAGTGCAATCAAGATGGTTTTGACTCGTCATGGAGCCATAGCATCAACCTTTGGTGTCAAGCTAGCCAAGACCATGGGTACAAAGCTGGGTGTCAAACTTAGTGAGGATTTGGAAGTCCTTCGGATTGATGCTTTTGGGGCTGTTGCCTCATGGAATGTGTCCAACCCACTCCTCAGCATCCATCTTGGTGATCGTATCTTGCAAGCTGCCAAGTTGGTGAGCCCCGACAAAATCTTTGCCAGTTTGCAGTCAGAAGGCGAGCTCGACTTGTTGGTCGGCAGGGTAGAGCGGCGCCTCGATGCTTCAACCGGTGGAATTTGCACATACAAGGAGTGTCAAGCAGCTTATCCTGATGCAGATTTGCGATGGGCGAACATGCAACGTGTGCCGGACACTCCTGAAGGCTTTCCAGCCACACAGTACGCAGCTGACACGGATTGTCATTTCCTCGCGTACGGGGCACCGAAGGGTGAGAGCAGGGATTTCTTGGCGAGTGAGTCCTTTTACAGGACGCTTTCACTCCGGTGTTGCAGTCATTTCCATGTTTTTCGAAATGTTTTGTGGCGTTTGGTGCGCTCCAGGACCTTGGCGGACAGCCGTGTGCCGCAGCACAGCCCTGGCCGCTCCTTGGCACGCTTGGCAACACCTGCCGCGCTCCCGGAGACAGTCGCGACGCGATCCTCTTTTTGCTGTCCATGTTGCAACTCGTCCTGGTTGTCATGTTTCAGCCAGCCCGATTTTTTGCGCAAGATTGGAACTTCCTGAGTTTGAAGTTACAGCTTGTTTGTGAAACATGCCTGTCTGCATGGAACTGTTTAGTTTGTATTTACTATATAGCCTTAGGTGACTATCATTGCCATTGTCACGCAGCCTTGATGGCTTGAGGACATGTACAAATTAGCTAATTTATTGGCGTCTTTTGATGTCTTCATTCTGAGGCAATCGCTTGTTCCATGTGTTTCTGAATGACGGAGTGTACCAAGCAGTGGCAGCGACGGGGGCTTTAGCTGGCATTCAACTGAAACCTCAGCAGGATTGGCTTCTTAAGGTTGGCAGCCCAGATGTTCACAGTTGTGATCATTGATGCAATAGCACACATACACACATGTATGTTTGTATGGTATGGTATGGTATGGTATGGTATGGTAGAGTATGGTAGAGTATGGTAGTATGTAATGTAATGTGATGTGATGTGATGTGATGAGATGTGATGTGATGTAATGTAATGTAATGTAATGATGTATGTTATGTTATGTTATGTTATGTTATGGTATGGTATGGTATGGTATGGTATGGTATGGTATGGTATGGTATGGTAATGTAGTGTAGTGTAGTGTAGTGTAGTGTAGTGGTATGTATGTATGTATGTATGTATGTATGTATGTATGTATGTATGTA